TATATCAAGCTATGCAAACACGGAAACCGTTTCTATTGCTTAAATATTGAAATTTAGCCCCAGACAATAGCCATTAGAAAATGTTTTGACCTGGGTACAATGTATTTGATTGAATATGCCGATTTAACTGAAGCTCTAAGCTGGATCTTTACTTCAGGGACTGTGGATAGTACTAAATAAAACAAAGTTTAACGTGAACAGTAAAAAATCGTAAATAAAGAACCAGTTTTCTCATTTATTTGAAAGTAACCTATGACATGTACCTGTAGTTATAACTCTTAATGAAAACACCAACAAGAACTTTTTGTTACTAAACAATATACCAGGCTGTCACTAAGTCCATGTCCACACGTATCCGGAAATTTCTTTTTCCGCAAATATTTTTTTTGCGGATGCGAAAATTTTCGCGTCCACACGCAGCGTATTCGAATCGTTTTCAGCCGTCCACACGTATCCGATTTTACCCGGAAATTTTCTGATTTTCTCTAGTGCCCAGTTCTTTTGCCGCAGAGAATCCTGAAATGAGCATGCGCATAATTGCGTTTTAGGTGCCATTTCTTTCGCCCAACAGCTATTGCGAGGTGTAAACAGTCGAAGCTTGTAGTTTATCACTCCAAAAAATGTCTAAATCTACTGAAAAAGTCAAGAAAAAGTATGCTTCGTCGCTTAAGTAATATAGAGTTAAGGCAACTTGCTTCACAACATCCACAGGAGAATGTATGATGGTCTCTTTTCCCTCAATGTACGGTCTCAACTCTTCTGCTAGCTTCAGCAATGACGTTTTAGACATTCTAAAATTCTCTCTCCATTCTTCTTCGATCATTGTGCCATTGATAAAATTGTCCGACCATGCGCTTGTCCTTCCTGGTCGCGTCCAGAATCGCCTTCGGTGATGGTTCGATTTTTTTTTGCCTTTATGATGCCCAGTGTTCATTGATAACAATCTCAAAACATCCTGTCGATCTTTAATGTATTGGTTGTGTAAATTTATCACAGCTGCATTTATCGAAACGCATGATATCGAACTAGAAATCAGAGCAACTAACAAAGAAGCTACAACCTTGCTGTACGCCATGTTTGTTGATAATGCTGCCGTGAAGACTGGATCCGAGAGAATGACGAAAGTGAATTCGAAAATTTCCGGTTACGACCGTCCACACGTATACGTATTTGTATCGGATAAAAAAATTTCCACTCTGGACAGCGTTTTCAAAAATTTCCGGATATGGCCGGAAAATACGCTGGATACGTGTGGACGCAGGCCATATTCATAAAAAAAATTGCATTTTCAAATTTCCGCATACGTGTGGACAATGCCTAAGGGCAAGGGTAGGGATTTTCTACAAATCATATCAGGATGAGCAGTGGATACTTTCCTGAGAAACAAATGGAAAACATAAAACCAAAAGAACGCCTTAGCTGTTCTGCTCATCACCTTTTAATAAAGTATTTCATATTTCTGGCAAATTTAAATCTTAGTGTCAGCCTTGTGCATTACATGTTACAGATATCACTGATAGTACTTCAATTAGATGGCGCTACGTGACCAATGACCCAAGCCTTATAGCCTTTACACATGTACCGTATTAGTGCAAAATCATTAATCACACTGTGATGATTTTTTTTGTCATGATACTGTCGATCTAAAGATCATTTTAAACCTATCACAGCTACTTTAAATGACTTGCAACTTCACTTTAAAATAAGGGAAAAATTCGAACCGTGACACTAAAATTAAAACCAAGTCTTCATCAACCCCGATTTCAGTCTACTTTCCCCAATTAAAGATAACTCTGATAGATTAATATAGCTTGCATTGTGTCCTTGGTGTGTTTTAAAATTTAAATGTATAGAACACTTCTACTCCTTTGTGCTTCGTATAAAACATTCAACAAAGCCTAAGAAACTTAGACTTCACCAGCTATACAGGGTGTTTCAAAAGTTCGTTCCGATTTTTTCTTCGCTTAAATTTCACTGATTATTAACAATACCTTTTGCAAAACTTAGTATGTTATTCATTATTCATTTAACATTGGATAACTGGCAAAGTAATATTGCTAAGCCAAGTGAAGGAGATCTGGATGAATTTCTTGCTTCAAACAGTATACAACGTGTAAAAGTTCTTGGTGAATTTCTTTTTGTTTCTTTGGTAATAACGATAAAGCAGCAGTTGGAAAAAGGAATTTTAACTGCTGAAGGAAGAACACGTCTACAACAATTAGGTGTTATTCAAGGTGAAAACTTTGAAATAAATCACATAGCATCAGCCCTAAGTCATGTCATTGTGAATGAATGGCTATGTAATCTATCCTCATATGAACCGTTCTTGACTTCAGGACAGGATTATGAAACAGAAGCTAATTTGTTTTTGCAAGATGGTCATTTTGCTTCAGAACTTGGAAATTCTATACCTCTTGCTGCTTCCAATGCACTGTCTCCCAATTGTAGTGCTTACTCGTATGTTGAACTTCCCATTACTACCAATATGCCTACAAGATAAAACTCAACTGCTGGGTTAAAAGCGAAGTCTTTCACTGAGATCAAAGCAGGTGGAACAGTGGCAGTACAGTGGACAATGTTTGAGGAGCTTGTTTTGGTAGAACTGATTCTTGGTCTCTTAGCAAGAGACAAACCTGAACCTCGGGGTCTTTCCAGGGAATATAATTACATCGTTGATACCGTTCGACCAACAAGTATGGGCAAAACTTGGGCAAGAAAAGAGAAAAACAAGTGACTAGGAAATTATGAACCTTTTGAATAGTCAAAAAGTGTTTGAGACTTTGATGAAAGAACAAATTAGGATCAATTTAGGTGAGAGCAAATAGTTTTCACACAGTTAACAGTTCTCGCACTAGGAGGAAGTCTGGATTTACCACTGAATCGATTAATTCATTAGAGTTCAAACCTGTTTTGTTTATTCCATGGCATGGGTCATGGGACATGGTGGCAAAATGAAAGGGGTCAGAGACTGTTCAGCTTTTAGAGGGGGGAGGAGCTGATGGAATTTATGGCTTGTCTTTTCCAAAATAGAATGACCCCCGCTGCTTACCCTTTATTTTTTAGCCAGTCCCCCTCCCCTACAACTCTTTATATTTTTGGGATGACCCTGTACACCTCAAGTTTCACCTTTTCTATAACACAATGTGACATTTTTGCCAGTGGCAATAATTTTTAATGACTCCTCCAGCTTTATTACGGTAAAACATTATATGCACTTGTCACTGGGAACCCCCCTCCCCCCACTCTTCGAGATCTTTATTAGTTTTATTTACAAAAGCATTTAATGTTTCTTTTTTATATATCAACAACTGCTTGTCACTGGAATTTATAATTTTATTCTAAGTATTTGAGTACTTAACATTGAGGTATTGTACATATTATATATATTAATATTTACAGACTGTTAATCATTTTGCAATATTTCAGATTTAGCTTCAAACAGTTCGCAGCAGTAAAACGTTATATATGAACAGTGTTATGTATAAGGGTTATAAGAAGACATGTCTTCCCCTGCCCCTTATAAATATGATTTAAAGTAGAACCCAAGTATTTGGCAATGTTTTCTTTCTGACCAAACATCCCAAAAAACCAAGAATAACATTTGAGATAATGCTCAACTTATAGTACTCCTGGTGTGTAGAATAACTAATCACACCAAAAAAATCATCATCAAATAAGAATCACAAAATTCTGTTTCACCTATTGCCCATCATTCAAATGAAGCATTAATCTGTTGATTGAAAGCAATTGCCACTGGTTACTGATTTCTTTGTGTACCCAGAGTTGAGTAGTATTCACAAACCACCGGCTTATGACTGAAGCACTGCATTAATCAACTGGACTCTGCTCTGCAATGGCTTCTTTGTTTTGGGAAGTCAGTCGGTCATCTTCTTGATTGAAGGTTGTGGTGAATTCCTCTAGGGAAATTTCATAGTTGGCCAATTTTGACTGGAAATCCATTTCAGGTGACTTTTTATAGAGAAACTTTAACCTCTCAACCATTTTAAAAATACCCAATCCATTCATCTGCAATTCCTCCATCGCAAGTCACGACACCAACTTCATTGTGAGTAAACCAGCAATCGAATTCGGTTATATCTTGCAGATGCGCCCCCTTGGATTGATCAATAATGTCTTTGCATATAGAGATTATCATGGGTGCGACACAGCTATCCTTAGTCTAACTGAACAATTCAAGAAAGAATTAGATAATCACAAAGTTATTAGTCTGGTGTCTATGGACCTGTCAAAAGCATTTGACACCCTTCCCCATGATCTTATTGTCAACAAGCTTGAAGATTACGGTGGAGACTCAAAAGTTATCAATCTTGTTACGAATTATTTAAGTGACAGACAGCAACGTGTCAGATTGAGTGGACAACACTCTTCTATGAGAACAATAATAAAGGGTGTCCCCCAGGGATCAATTTTGGGTCCCATTCTCTTCAATATTTTCATGAATGACCTGTCTTATGCTATAGATGAATGCACATTATTCACGTATGCCAATGACACTCAATTGTTTAAGTCTGAGGAAGATATCGACCAGGTTGAACATGCCATAAATGCCGATCTGAAAAAGGTTCATGAGTGGTATGAATTCAATCAAATGAAAAGAAATCATTCAAAATATCAAGCAATTACTTTTGGAAGGGTCGAGACAAATCCTGTGTTGACCTGTGAAGGAACCGTTATCCCTATTCAAAACAAAATGGAACTCCTTGGCGTCACTATCGATAATAAGCTTAAGTTTGAGGGACAGATTCGTAAAATCTGTCGTAAAGTTAGTCAACAGGTTGCTGTTCTCAATTGTTTGAAGAAAATATTGCCATTTGAATTGAGGATAAACATATATCGTGCTTTCATTGCACCGCATTTCAATTACTGCTCAAAGTCGTGGCATCACTGTGGTAAAAGAGGTTGCGCCAAACTTGAAAAAAGCAATGAATGAGCCCTTCGCTTTGTGACCGGTGACAAGTCAACCACGTACGAGACGTTGCTAAAACAACTAAAGGCTGGTTTTCATTAGCGATGGAGTCGGAGTTGGAGTCGTAAGCGGAGTCGTAAGAGCGCTTATGACCTAGTGAAAATAAAAAATCGGAGTTGTAAGCGGAGTCATAAGCGCGACAGAGTCAGAGTCAGAAGAATCAGAACGTTTCCATTTTCTTCCGACTCCGCTTCCGACTCAGTTGCTGGCGTTCCGCTTATGATTTAGTGAAAACCAGATTGTCGGAGTCGGAAGCAGAAGCGGTAGAATAAACTAATCAAAATGCAGGGTCCCAGACCCTCCCGCCTGTCGCGAGAAAACATGGCGTCCAACTCCATGGACGAAAAAGTCGCCGAGGCTGTTAGACGTTTTCCGATTTTGTACAACAAATCTCTGAAAGATTTCAGAGACAGAAATAATAAGAAGAACGCTTGGGCAGAAGTTGCTAGGCAAGCTGGTTTATCAACAGGTGTTTAGTGAGAGTTAATTCAATGTAGTTCAATCATTGCAAGCATTTTTCAACGTGTTTTACCACATGTGCCATATATCCTGTTGTTTTTATTGTTTGTTTTTTTATCTTGAGGATTACGGTAAAAGATGAAATGAGACGGAAAAAAGAAAGCTTTTAATCAGTAGAAACACTGATGGTATATTCGGGAATGTATCGTTAACTGGTCTTTTAATGTTTGGGTTATATCTTCTCATACTTTTTGGAATTGTGTGATCCCTCTTGAGAAGAGTTGGAATCTAAGAAATTTAAGCTGAAGTAAATTTAAAATATATAAAATCCGTGCATTCCAAGACAGTGAGAAAAACCATTAGTTGTTATTTATTGAATGTTTAGGCAAAACTCGTGAGTCAATGCTCGCCAAATTGAGTGTTTTGTTTAGTTTTTTATAAGCTCAATATTTCCATAACATGAAGTTAATTATCCAGGTAATTCAGCCAAAATAACAAGATTGGGTAGCGCAGGTGCAAGGTTTTAAAAATGAAAATTATTTTTGCAGCACAAAACCTTTAAAGGAAAGTTGTGATCAAGAACTACATTAAATTAAAAGATCCTCATTCTTCAAAATAAAATACTTAGCCTTTTGGAGTATACTATTTTAATAATGATGCATAGATTCAAGATTTATGTTAAAGTTGATGAGAAATTCCATCAGTTCTTTTTTGGGGTGATGGTCAATATAGAAAGTCAATATATGCACTATTGTGTCATTTCACTGGGTGAATTTTATTGTTATTGTGTCGTCATTGTGTCCTTTGTGACGTAACTCGAGACTTCCTATTTACCTGGTATATAGTGCACCAGCTTCTTTGTGTGTACGTTGTGTAAGTCTTACAGAGATTCCAGTTGACCAGTTATACAAGGCCACGCAGTTAACTTAAAATTGACTTGAAAACTGTTCTTACAATAAATAATATTACCACTGAAAGATCTGAACTCCTACACTTTGATAAACATGTTCTAAATTGAACTAAATGCAAAAATGACAGCTGAAAATAAGTTTTATTTAAGTTTTTGCCTCTGCATTTATTTATAGACTGATTTATAGCCAATACCGCCTTGACAACGGTAGAGGCCATTTTTGTGCTGAGGCTATTTAGGTCTTACTTGCTTTGTACCTGGAATCTCAATGTGATTTTGGACTTTATTAATAATATTAAACACTTGATTATCTTCTCCCCTAAGTTATAGGTCGTGTGATTGTGGGGGGTGGGAGTGGGGAGGAGATTACAAGGAAAAGGGTTTGTCACAGACATTGAAGGCTAATAGAAGATTTACATGGGGATACAGATCTGATATAAGGTCTTCAGTAAACCTAGGTGGGTGCGACACAGCTATCCTTAGTCTAACTGAACAATTCAAGAAAGAATTAGATAATCACAAAGTTATTAGTCTGGTGTCTATGGACCTGTCAAAAGCATTTGACACCCTTCCCCATGATCTTATTGTCAACAAGCTTGAAGATTACGGTGGAGACTCAAAAGTTATCAATCTTGTTACGAATTATTTAAGTGACAGACAGCAACGTGTCAGATTGAGTGGACAACACTCTTCTATGAGAACAATAATAAAGGGTGTCCCCCAGGGATCAATTTTGGGTCCCATTCTCTTCAATATTTTCATGAATGACCTGTCTTATGCTATAGATGAATGCACATTATTCACGTATGCCAATGACACTCAATTGTTTAAGTCTGAGGAAGATATCGACCAGGTTGAACATGCCATAAATGCCGATCTGAAAAAGGTTCATGAGTGGTATGAATTCAATCAAATGAAAAGAAATCATTCAAAATATCAAGCAATTACTTTTGGAAGGGTCGAGACAAATCCTGTGTTGACCTGTGAAGGAACCGTTATCCCTATTCAAAACAAAATGGAACTCCTTGGCGTCACTATCGATAATAAGCTTAAGTTTGAGGGACAGATTCGTAAAATCTGTCGTAAAGTTAGTCAACAGGTTGCTGTTCTCAATTGTTTGAAGAAAATATTGCCATTTGAATTG